GAGTTGGAGGTTGCTGTGAGCTGTAATGCCATGGCACTCTGCCCAGGGGGACAGCTTGAGGCTCTGTCTCAAAAAAAAAAAAAAAAAAAAAGAAACTGCTGTAGCAATATAAACATTTCAAAGCACTCAAATTCTGATTGAGGTTATTGGTGAAGTTTCATGGAAAAGGAGATGCATGAATTTGGCTTTCAAAAGATAAGTTATTTTTGTTTAATTTTTGGAAAAATACTATATTCACATAGTTAAAAAAAAATCAAAAGGTATAGTATGCTGTGATAAACTTCCCTGCCAGGCCAGGTCTTTAGCACTTATTTTCTTTTCCCACAGACAACCACTACTAGTTTTAGTCCTTCCTTCCACAGATACTTTATCTACAAACAAACAAATACAAATTTATCTCACTGTGGTATAATAAAAAATATATTTGGTCTTTGTCCCCATTTCTTGGCATAAAGATCCTAACACCCTGGGAACTTCAGATGGGGATAAGAGCAGCTGCTTCTGCTATTCATATAAACCCATCTCAATCATACCAGTGTCTATGAAGTGACTTTTTTTTTTTGAGACAGAGTTTTACTTTGTCACCCTTGGTAGAGTGCTGTGGCATTATAGCTCGCAACCTCAAACTCTTGGACTCAATCGATTATCTTGCCTCAGCCTTCCAAGTAGCTGGGACTACAGGTGCCCACCACAATGCCTGGCTATTTTTAGAGACGAGGTCTTACTCTAACGCTGGTCTCAACCTGTGAGCTCAGGCAATCCACTCATCTCTGCCTCCCAGAGTGCTGGGATTACAGGCGTGAGCCACTGTGCCTGACCCAATAAAGTGACTCTTGAAGGATGGGGACCAGCTGTCAGAGCAACCACATGATCAGAGAGTTGAAACTTTTAGTCCAACCTAGAGGTCTAGCAATTGAGTTAATCACCAATGGCCAATGTTTTAATCAATCACCTCTGTGTAATAGAACCTCCATAAGAGTTTGAGGTTGCTGTGAGCTAGGCTGAGGCTGTGGCATACTAGCCTGGAGCAAGAGAGTGAGAGTCTGTCTCATTAAAAAAAAAAAAAAAAGAGTGAATGTGATAATATCTCAAGAGGATCCAGACTCTTGTTCTTGTTTTATTTACTTATTTATTTTGAGACAGAGTCT